TTAACATTGGCCTACCGCTTGTACTAATAAAGTGCCAAGGGCCTAAGTGGTCACCTTAATATTAAAAAAAAAAATAAAATCTAAAATCATCGGATCTACAACTTTAATGCATCATAAAACCATTAAAAAAAAATACAGGGTTTCTGTAAAGATACTATTGCTCTTTTGTCTCACATTTGCTATTTTGCTTTTACAATTGCTTTTTTGCTCCTGTATTTGCTCCTTTACTTCTATATTTGCTTCTTTGTTTCTAAATACAATTGCTTCTTGTTTCCAAGTACAAGAATGCCTAAATCTATATGAAAAAAATATAAAAAAGAATGCTTTTTTTCTTTGCTCTAGATATTTATATTACCTGTATTTAGAATCTGTTATAGTTTAAATTCTCTTTTGTATCTTTTTTTAGTATAATATATTTGTGTTTATATTATTTCAAACTATTTGTCTACTGCTATAAAGTATAGTTTATCAACAACTCTTTCCGATGATCACTTGGTCCAAAATTTTTACAGAAGAAAAACACAAATTTTGTTGGAAAGTTGTGGCCTAACGTAGTGGTTTGTTTAGAGGTCAACGTACTGCTAGTGGGACTCCTCTACAGGTGACATTCGGCATGCAAGCCAAGAGCATTATTATACAAGATAACTAGCAGGAGGCGCCCTTGTATAAAAAATCTTGGTGGAGAAAAGGACTCTTTGGACACCCCTCTTTCTTTGTTGACGAAGCTTAGAAAACAACAAAATATCCTGTTATTTTCTTCAAGCCGCACTCTTTTTATTTGGTCAAGTGGTACCTTTTTACTCTCTCTCATTCTTTCATTGGTTTTCCAACAAAAAGTGGGGATTTGGCTTACTCTCTCCAAAAGATCAGCATTGTTTACTTCCCAAATTCGGATGGATTAGCAGAATGCAACCACGTGTTTGTTTACAGATAAATATAGCACTTTTTTATGGGACTTAGCCTGAGAACTTTAATTATAGCAGCAGGTGGCTTGGGTCACGGGTTCTTGGACAATGGTAGCACCTGGCTCGAGATATGAATTAGGACAGACAACGAAGCTGTTAGGAAGGTCAGAAAGTAAATTTAATATTAAGATGAAGCTTTACAGTAGAGATATACAAATGTTGCATTTGTTATATAATTTTTATTAGCCATGCACAGGTTATAATAGTGCCTTCAGGGTTTTAGATTTCTTTTTATGTTTTTTCTTTTTCGCAATCAGTGTTTCTT